CTCTTTCCCACAACAGAAGAAGGGTGGGCTTCTTAGATAGTCCTTATAATTTGATCAAACCAGGTCTTCTTTCTTTCATTCTGGGACCAAACTGTCCTTTAGGGTCACTTTTCTGAAACTTAGCATCCCACTGTACTTTCCCCTTCCTTTTAGTCATGCTGGTCCTGACTGAATTATCACTGGGCACCAGGAACAGACTGTTTTCAAGGAAATTCAATGAAAATAGGTACTCAAATGAATTGTGAAGTTCATATTCCTAGCCCTAGAATGAATATTCAGTTCTCTTTGTATTGTAGATTTATTACTTGGAACCTGGTATTAGAATTGGCAAAGAGACAGAGTTAGCATCATTCCAAAATAAAAGATCCCAAGAGTGCATTACTAATAATATTATATATTATACAATGTATTGATGAAGTGGCAAAGGGTTATATAAATACACAGAAAAATACATCTTGTTCTCTAATTGAATAAATTATTTTTCTTATTACAATTGACTATTAGTTCATATGGAATTATCAGATGGCAATTTATTTGCATTAAATTTTAATTTCTAATGGATTTTCTCACAAGGTAGTGTACTTTTAAAAGAAATATGTTACTAAAAAATTAGAAAGGAATTTGATCATGGAGAAAGTCTTAAAAAATGTTCTTCTATTGGTCAACACAGTGAAACTTGTACTTAAGAATACAAGGGAAACCAACGTAAGTGTTTTATGAAACAAAATTTTAAAACTCAGATAGAGCATACTTAGAAAGGTTTTGATACTTAAGAAATCAAGACAGTAATCCCCAGGTGAATGCCACCCTTTTGATGAGAATCCAGGGATATTAATACTCAAAATATTTACATTTGTTTTTAAAGTAGAGGCAGACATTTGCTTTCAATGAAACCATAATACTTAGCAAGATTCACTGTTTCAAGAGTCATTATAATATTTGGGATCGAGGGGCTCTGATGATGCCATTTTTAAATTGTCATTGGAAGTCTGATTTAAAAAATTTTATATTTTAATAAATTAATGTTAGCTTTTAATGTTTTCTATTGGGAGATTTGATTTAATATAATTTAATATAAGAACAGTTAACAGGAAAGTAAAGTGGAGCAGCATATTATAACTTTTAAAAGTGGGGAATGATAAATTACGTTAATGGATATATTTCCATTTCTCAATTCCTTTTTTTAAGTAGATGTGAGATAAAAAATACTTACCAAAATAAGGATATTGAGCTAAAGGAAAAAGGTTTTTATTTATCTTTCTCTCTGCTAAAAATATACTTCTGCCTCATAGCAAATCTTTTTCATAAGGCTATTTTTAGTATAAGGCTGGGTCAACTGAACTTTAAATTTATAGGACACCTCCTCCTTTTATTACTATCCTTATTTAAAAATCAAAAACATTTGGCACCTGAGGATAGCTGTAATGGGAGGAAGAAAGAGATGACAGTGGATGCAGGTCTTGAGCTATGAATTCTACCTGTATGAGCCTATGAAAGCACAGGTATTTCTATTATAACCTTAAATCTCTTTTCTGCAGTTTTTAAAAAGTGACAGTATGAAGTGCACAAAATTATATTAATAATTATTTTAAAAAGGAAAATATTAATAATTGCTTTGCCTCTTTTTGGAATGGCTAAGAAAGATTGTGTGGTTTATATTCACTAAGGTTCCTCTGTTTTAGTTTCCTGTATTGCTTTGAAAAATCTACATTTGTCATAGTTCATAGCTGCCCTGTTTAAGCAGCCAAGAAAAGTTAAAATCACTGCTCACTGGCATAGCAAAATCTCTGCTACGCCGACTTGACACAGTTTAAAATTTCCAGTGTATTAAGATTGTGTTAATTTTTTGAACAGTCCCTCCAATCATGACAATGTCTTCCTTGGGTCTATGGACCGTTCTTCCAGTGGTGGGACTTGAAAAGAACAGAGGAGCTCTTTGTGCATCAGGTTTTCAAAAGAAAGGAACGAAGAAGCCCAAGTGCGTACTTTAAATATTTTAGCTGGCAATGCATTCATAAAGAGGAGTGGCCACATTTCATGAAAGAGATAGCCAAGCTGGAGCTCAAGAATTATTATTATTATAAAGAGAATTCCCAGCTACACAACATACCCCAGTGAGGGAATTACAAAACAGTATTCCAGAAAATATTTTTTGCTACTCCAGTATTGATTGGCAACATGGTGAAATAGTCAAGAAATCTTCCACTGGTTTTCTTAGTTAATGGAGGTGAACTGAAATAACTAGGTGGAATCCAAGATGCAGGCTTTTGGAAGAGGATGTCACAACCAAATTGGAGAGGAAAGTCTGGTAAAAGCCCTACATACATCAGCGCATCCCTCTTCATACAGTTGTGTGTTGTGTATGGGACACACTCACATCAAGGCCTCAGTAAATACTGGGCCCAAGTACTGCTTTCCAAGGTCTTTAAAGGAAAGAAAAGCGAAAAAAAAAAAAAAAAAAAAAAAAAAGGAAAAGAGGAAGAGAAAAGTTTTGGTCCCAGATTTTGAGTTTGTTAGAAAATGTACATTCATGTTTGGTGAATCAAAGAATCTTCTGGGAAAAGAATTAAAGTAAACAAACAAAACATATTTTTTTACAGTTGCTTATTAACTATGCCTTTTCCCCTCCATTACGCTGTTTCACACTCATTGCTTCCCTAGAGCAAAGCACTTAGTATGTAACTGTTTCAACAGACTCCTTGTCAGCCCTCAAAAACAGAAGCAGTGTTTCTTAAAAGCCCATGTTTTCTAAGGCCACTAGAAGATCTGCCAAAAGATTTGTAGTTGGTGTCTTCGTCGGTTGATGTTGAATAGCACTATTAATCTCTTGTTTCCATTACAGGTGTACTTGGCGTCTTCCACCTCGGGTCTTAATCAGGCGACTGTGTCTGTGGGAACACCGGAGGTCTCGGCTCCGTTTGGGAACCCAGCGTGGTTTCCAAGGACATTCACAAGGACGAGGAGCTCTGAGTGTAATCTCTTATGATAAGTGTGTCGTATTTGGGAGACGATGGGATACAGAGGGCCGACTCGGACACTGGCGAGTTGGGAGTGGTACTCCCCGAGTCCACCGAGTCTCTGAAGGGGGACGGCGGGGTGAGAGCCACCAACTCCTCCAGGTCCGGCTTGCCGGCCGCAGCCTCGGGCCCGGCCGCCGGGGGCTCCCGGGCAGCGCCCCCAGCCGGCGGGGCCGCGGCCGCGGGCTGCGCGCCGCCGGTGACCTCAATGGCGGGCAGCGGCTGGATCTCGGCGAACGTGGTCATGGTGGTGGGCAGCTGGATCTCTTTGGGGATCAGGTAGGACGAACAGAGCGGGGCGCCCGCGCCGGGGCCGGGAGCGGCGGTGGAAAGCATCATGGAGTTGAGCTCGCTGATGTTGGCAGTGAAGCGGGTCACCACGCTGCTGATCTGCTCCATGAGCGAGCCCTGAGACGAGCTGCTGCGCGCCGCGGGCTCCGAGTGCAGCGACGGCAAGTCGTCGTCCGTGCGGCCGGCCGAGCCCGCGCGCTGGCTCAGCGTGCTGATGGGCGACGGCGAGCGCGGGCGCGCGGGCGCGGGGAAGTGCTCCTCGGCCTCCACCACGTCGTACAAAGCCTTGGGGCCGGCGTCCGGGGCCTCGGGCCCGCCGCCGCCCGCGCCTGCGCCGCCCGCCCCCGCGCCGCCGCCCGCGCCGCCCGCGCACAGGCCGCGGCTCTCCGTGCTCTTGGGGAAGGGCTTGATGACGGCCGTTTGGTTGGGGTTCTCTTTCTTGTTGATGTGGATGGACAGCCGCTGCCACAGGTGCTGCCCCCGGCTACTCTTCTCGTTCTGCGCCCACGTGACAGATTTTCCATTGGAGCTGCGGAGAGAAGGGAGACAAGAGGTGACTCCGCGAGGCCCCGGACGGGAGGGCTTCCCCGGTGGTGGGCGGCCGTGGGACTCGGACTGGGGAGGACTTTTCTTGTTTTCTCAGGAAATAGGGCATCAAAGGACACCATGGAAAGAGATCTTGGACGTGGCTTTTGCTTGCTTGAGTGAAAGGCTGCTTTCTTGTATCTGGTCTTCTGTTCATCATGACCACGGAAGTGTGTCAAAGGGGATATTAGTGTGGATAAAGGGCTGTGTATGGGGATTCTGCAGTAGTTCTGAGACCACTCGTGAGTGCAACAGCTGGTTAGGCTGCAGACCTAGAAGCTAGGTCTTGCAGTATTGTGGTTGTGTGCAGACGTTCCGGTGACAGGGCACGGGCTTCCCAAAGTTGGCAGCCTCTGAAAGGAAACAGAACTAGGACCTCAGCTCAATCCAGTGATCAGAGGGCAGGGAAGGGGTAGGAGTCAGGGGCTACCAGGAAGTAGATAGTGGTTCCAATTCAGTTTTTATTCTGCACGCCCATGGTTGGTGCATTTGACTAGGGATTTCTGTAAGAACTCCTGACTTTGAACATGTTTGTACTTGGTCTGGCTTATCTGGTGGAAGATACAAATTCAGTGAACACATATACTAATTTGTAATTAATTAGAACTCTTCTACTTGGTAGAAATTTCCTCACGTATTTATTTTAAGGCCTAAAACTTGAATAACAATTCTGGGAGGGAGCATGTAGTGTTATTGCCTTTGGCACCTAGCGTGTAGTTTCGAATTAGGGTCTCAGTGAGTGTTGTCTGACTGACGTGGTTTCTTAGGACCTTTCTCCCTCTTCTTTTTCCCAAGTAGTCCTTTTTCGTCTCCACTCTGGGAAATGAAATCTGCTCTGGTGAAGAAAGCCTCTAATGGGGCTGATGCCTCAGCCTCAGAGCCTGACTGTGCCTTCCCTACCTGGAACCACAAACTATCGAGAGCCTCACCTATGGTCAGGTGATGTGCTCTGACCTTCAGGGATCTTATATAGAGAGATCCTGGTGTGATTTCCCACAAAGGAATACAAGATCTCTGTAACTAGGGGGTCTGCTACATGCAGACAGCTCTGTTCTAGGTGCTGTGTGACCAAGAGATAGACTTGGGCAGTCTCTGAACAGAGGCTTTGACCACCCAATTTTATCATCTCAGCTGGTGGCTATTAAACTTAATTGTGCATAGGACTCACCTGGGGTATTTGTCAAATACCCGGGTGAACCCCAGGAGATTCTGATTGTCCAGATTGGGTTCCGTGGATCTATGCATTTTACAGGCACTCAGCCCCCTGCTCCCTAAAGTGATTCTGCAGCAGGTGTTTCACAGACTGAGAAGTTCTAACAAGAAGTTATCCTTTCTCTCTGGGTTCCCATTGCTCCCTTGGCCTCCTTGCTGGAGGGCTGACCTGCAATTCAGACAAGGGACTGAATTGTGTTTGGAGCCCACCTGCCTTGGGACTGCCAAATGCAACTTCGAGATTCTCTTTTGCTTGAGACGTCCACTCCCTTGATAAGTAAGGGACCACTGTTTCTGCAGCCCCTATAACAACATGCTTCCTGCCTCTTTCCCACACTGCTCCCCATGTCTTCATCTGTCCCTTTCCACTTTGTGGTCTTCCTTTCTCTGCTCCTTGCACTGAAATCTCATTCCATTTAATATACCCAGTGTATTGCAACCTGGTGTCCTTCAGAATTCTTGAATGTGAAATGTCCTCCACCCTCACCCCTTTTCCTGCAAATAATGAACAAATTATTTCCAGGTTTGGAGGTTGCTGTGCATTCTCAGCACAGCAGAAGGGGCCCTGCCAACCTGTTAACTTCTTTCCCAGAGAGTTTCAGGGTTTGTTTTTATGTTTTTGCATTAACCTGACCTGCCACCCTTTATGTTTTCAGCGCAATACTTTTCTTTTTCCCAAGTGTCCACTAACTTCTGGAACATGGCACAGAAGAAATGGGCCAGATGATTTATGGGATTTGATTGGGAGGATGGTTGCCAACAACCCCATTTCTCTCCTACTGGCAAGATAAGAAACAGACATGTCCGGAGGGACAATTAGTTTTTCAGGTAGCTGAGGCCACTTTTGATACAAAGCATGGGCTAGAAACTAGAAGTATAACTGGATTCATTCTACCAAGCTCTAGGAAAGTTTTTGCTCCCAGCACAGAGAGGTTTTGATGGAACGTAACTTTAACAGTGACACTCATTGGAATCACATGTAGCCGGGCTCCAAAACATGATAGCAGATTGAAAAACCTTTGGGTTTTCAATGTGGGAGAAGGAAACTGTCCTAACCAAGCAATCTGTACAAAGTACTGCCATCTTTCCTGGCCATGTCTTTGCTCACAGTGTCACAGGGTCTGTGGCCACCTGGGAGAGAGTGCACCAGACATCTGAATAGCAATGGAAATGGACACAGGACACACCAGAGACATGGAGTACAAATCTCACCACTTCATTTCATTTCTTGGGTCATGGAATATTTTTTTCTCCAAAGCAAATGGAGATTCTTAAGAAAAAACTGACCTACAACAGACGTTAGTCTGTTTATCAGTAGACTGTAGTTTCTGTGAAGACAGGGACCTTACCTACCTTGTTCACTGGCACACAGCAAGATCTTAATAAGCATTTGATGGATGAATAGGATTCTTAAGGCAACAGGGCTGTTGTGTGGTGTATGGAAAGTGCAATGGACGAAGGGTCCTAAAATCTGTATTCTAATTCTGGATCTGCCATTCTGGATGCTTGGAAAATAATAATCTCCTTAAGCCTCAGTAAAAAAAAAAGCAGATAGTATATCATTTGGTGAAGATTGTTTTGAGGAGATTAAATGAGACAATGAAAGTGAAAGGCTCTGGTAAGGAGAAGGTATCTAAGGTGTTATTTTTTGCATTCTGTGTGAATACTGAGTTTCAAGAAACAAAAATAATATATTACAGTCGGCCCTCTGCAGTTTCGCATCTGCAGCTGCAACTGAAAGCAGTCAGGTCTAATGTTGGTTGAATCTGCGGATGCGAAACCTGAGGATACTGAGGACCGCCTGTATTCATTGTACTATGCCGTTTAGGTAAGGGATTTGAGCAGCTTGGGCTTTGGTCTCTGCTGGGGCTCCTGGAATTAATACCCAGGGGATACGAAGGGCCGACTGGACCCAAGTCTGTTTTGAGCTCTGGTTGAGGAACAGAGAATTCAGTGCCAAGTAAATATTTATGGTAAGGCCATAACATACTTCTGGTGTTCCTTCTTACTCTGAGCGATTGCACCCAGCTTTGGAGTTACAGGGCGTTTTATCTGCGGCGCGTCTTTCCTCACCCTATGCTGTCACCTTGGGTGAGCCTCTCCTCCGCTAAATTTAACATTATTCCACTTCCAAAGTTTACTTCTTCCTGATCTTTCGTTGAGCTGCCTCCTCTGCCTTTTCCTTCTTGTTTTACCTAAGTACTTCCTAGCTTTTTTTTTTTTTTTTTTTTGATTTTTCCTTAATTGCTTTTTCTTGAAGGAAGCTTTCCTGACCCCGCTCCTGACTGGGTTAGATTCCCATTGTCCCTGCCATAGGCACTGAATAAGTCTTTGTTGTATGTCCATCTCATCTGCTGGACGGAGTGTTTTGAAGGCAGAGACAGAAGGTTCTTCATTTCCTGTTATATCCACAATACCCAGTGCATTGCCTGCTCAATAATATTTTTTGGCTAATAATTGAGTGGATAAATGCATTCCGTTTTAAAAAATTCATACTAATTACTTTTGTTAGAATTAAGTGTTAAAAATTCAATATTAATGAAATTCTTTTGTCTTGAGGATCCATCTACTTATATACCTCAGTGCAATCATTAGTACTCAGTGTGTACTGAAAAGGATGTATGAAAAGGTATGTCATAAACTAGTACAACAAGACAGATCTTGATATCTATCATGAGAATCACAGAGGAAGTGTTGATTTCTTTTTTGTAGTTCGTATATATCTGTTTTACTGAAACTTCTCAGTGATGACAGTTTATTGAGGCAGTACCAGTAGGGAACCCAGAATGTGGCTCCAAGATCTGGCCTTGATTGATGTTGGGCAAGTCACTTAATACCTTTGAACCTCTTTCCTTATTGGTAAAAAATAGAAGTGAACCACCCTTTCTGACCTCACGTGATTTCTGGGAGGAACCAAAAGAGCAATATACATTAGGGTGTTTTATAAAGCATAGCACCTCTGCAAGGGGTAATCACCATCAAACTTTCCATTCAATGGGGGTAAAATGTTGTTTATTAGTATTTAGGCTGATAATTTTTTTTTTTTAAACATCAGGATTATACATTTGTCCTAGGGCCTGAGGTAAGAAAAAGGAACAAACTTTTCCTTACCTGTCTACAGCACTTCACCTTCCCCAGCTAATATTTTGGGCATTAGAAAAGGAGGAAGAGAAAAGAAGATTGGAGGGAGAGACAGAACCAATGGTCTGCTACATCTGGGAAGGAGGACAAACTGGCCAAACAAAAGAGAAGAAGACAACACAAAAACCTTGGTCTTTGCAGGCACCAATTAGTCCTTTTGCCATATATAATACTATGTAGTCTAATGTTCTCATTTTTATGATGATTTGCTCTTTATTTCTGGAAAAACAAAAACAACAAAATTCAGCCTTTCAGTAAGAAAGAGGGTTATTAGAGGGTTAGGTTTTTTTGTTTGTTTGCTTTTTGTTTATATTTTGGGTTTGCCAAAATGACACCTTCTACCTTTATTCTCAGAAGTTTGTTCTCTCTCTTCTCTTCCATGTGGGACACTTAACTAACTTATTCATTAGTTTGGAGCAAGCAGGCTCCAAATGTCAGCTCAATGACCTCTCCCAATTTCTCTACTCATCCGCCAAAACCTGCAGGCATTAGAGCATACTGCCATGGCACACCATCGTTAGGAAGCAAATGTTAATCAAGAGAGAGTTTGACTCTCGAAAAACTCTAGGAATTTAGAATTTTTGTGTTCAT